CTGGTAAAAGCTGGAAATTATGTTTTAACCGAATGGTTATATTAAATGTGCATGAAGCCCTCTAAAGAGCATTATGCTTCCTGAGACCACAGAATGAGCAAAGAGCCTGCCAAATGGGAAACTTGGCAACCCTGGACCCAACCACAAAACGCAGAGCTCAGGTTTTAGCCCTGGGAGATGATGGTCTGAAATAAATATAATTTAAGTAAAGGAAAAGGGAACACACATGTGTTAAGTGGTATGTGCTGGTTTTTAAATTATGACTTTGCTTTTGCTTAAACCTTTTTTAAACCTCAAGAAACTCTAATCTATCGGTACAAACAGTTTCTTAAAGGACCTGATAGTAAATATTTAAGGCCTTATGAACCACATGGTCCCCGTTGAGTATTTTTGCTGTTTATCTGTTTGTTTGCTTTGTTTACAACCCTTTAAATAGGTAGAAACGATCCGAGCTCACGGCCATAAAAACAGGCTTAGGGTCTCCAGCTACAAAGTTTAGACATTTCCAGTTATATTTAAGGTTTTTCAGGAATGGATATCTCACCATTTTCCAGAAGACTTTATTCAATAGTTGTACTTTTAAAAAATTCTTCATCATATTGAACCAAATTTTCTTTTCCTGTAATTTCCACTTGTACCTACTTCTGACCCCTAGAGTTGGCAAACTTCTTCTCCACGGGTTTTTATTTTTTTATATATATTTTAATATTTTATTTTATTTTATTTTGTCAATATACAATGTGGTTGATTATTGTGGCCAATTACCGAAACCTCCCTCCACCCTCCCTCTCCACCCTCCCTCCCAACAATGTCCTTTCTGTTTGCTTGTCATATCAATTTCAAGGAATTGTAGTTATTATGTCTTCTCCCCCCCACCCCCGGGTTTCTTTTTGTATATTTATTTATTTATTTATTTTTAGCTCCCACCAATAAGTGAGAACATGTGATATTTCTCTTTCTTTGCCTGACTTGTTTCACTTAATATAATTCTCTCTAGGTCCATCCATGTTGTTGCAAATGGCAGTATTTCATGCTTTTTTATAGCTGAGTAGTATTCCATTGTGTAGATATACCACATTTTCCATATCCACTCATCTGACGATGGACATTTGGGTAGGTTCCAACTCTTAGCTATTGTAAAGAGTGCTGCAATAAACATTGGAGTACAGGTATACATTCGACTCGATGATTTCCATTCCTCTGGGTATATTCCCAGCAGTGGGATAGCTGGATCATATGGTAGATCTATCTGCAATTGTTTGAGGAACCTCCATACCATTTTCCATAGAAGCTGCACCATATTGCAGTCCCACCAACAATGTATGAGAGTTCCTTTTCCTCCGCAACCTTGCCAGCATTTATCGTTCAGAGTCTTTTGGATATTAGCCATCCTAACTGGGGTGAGATGGTATCTCAGTGTGGTTTTGATTTGCATTTCCCAAATGCTGAGTGATGTTGAGTATTTTTTTCAT